CCTAGTTTCTCTGCTTGAGCCTTGCTATTGATTTTTTTAAATAAAAATCTCTCTAATAATTCCTAACAACATCTACTGTTTTTGCTGTTTTATTTAACAAAATTTTGTGCCTGTAACAAATTAATAAAAACATCCTTACTTACATTCATACGCGCATTGTTACTGACAGACTAACGCTTGCGTACACTAGTGTACAGTCTCACACATTAATCTAGCTTATTTTTTTTATAAGCTAATATTTTTAACTCCTATTCTTTCCCGCTTCACAGCATTATTTATATTTGTTAAAAATGCTAGCCGTAACATGGACGGTGTGGCTTAATGTATATAGAATAAGTGAAATGAAATTTAGTATAGACCGGATAGCTCAAATGGTAGAGTAGCCGACATGTCTTCGGAAGGTTCTGGGTTCGTATCCCAGTCCGAGCTATCTAATAATTTTTTCTCACATATTCTATACACTCACATTAAGAAGTTCCTCTCCATAATCCTTTCTCAATCCTTTCCTACCAATTATCCTGTTACGTGAATGTTGGAACGCTTCACGTAATAATTATTTATCCGTAACTCCTATTCTTTCCCGCTTCACAGCATTATTTATATTTGTTGGGTTTTGGGTTCGAATCCCAGTCCGAGCTATCTAATAATTTATTCTCGCATATTTTATACACTCACATTAAGATGATCCTCTACACAATCCTTTCTCAATCCTTTCCTACCAATTATCCTGTTACGTGAATGTTGGAACGCTTCACGTATTAATTATCCGTAACTCCTATTCTTTTCCGCTTTACAGCATTATTTATATTTGTTAAAATATAGAATATGCGAGAAAAAATTATTAGATAGCTCGGACTGGGATTTAAACCCAGAACCTTCCGAAGACATGTCGGCTACTCTACCATTTGAGCTATCCGGTCTATACTAAATTTCCTTTCACTTATTCTATATACATTAAGCCACACCGTCCATCTTACGGTTAGCATTTTTAATAAATCTAGCATCACGTACGTCCGCCGTCTACGGTCGGTCCGTCCCCACTCTCGTTCTACTGCGTGCGAAGCCGGCAGCATCTCTAGCGTCTCACTCTCGCATTACCCACTGCCTTCTCACTCAATTTTTATTCTTCTCTAGCGCGCTTCTGATTGGTCACTTTTATTAATTAATAATTAATTATCTATGCGTCTGATTAAAAAATGGCTGAGGATTTTTCGTCTCAGAATAATTTCCTCTTTCGATCCCTACAAGGAAGTGCGTGACTACTGGGACACCCTGTATAAGTACCGCGAGCTCCGAGCGTTCACTTCTCATTCATTCTTCAACTTGGACATATCATGGAGATCATAATCGACATTCAAGGATTCCAACGTGAAACTTTCATAGCCAAGGAACTGGCATGCATCACTATTGACTAGGAGATCGAAGAAATATCAAGTACAGTCTTCAAACCACCTTACCCTTGGGACTTTCAATCATTACACTACCAGCGACTCAACAAAGCCATCAGCGCTGCTTGCCATAAAATTTCCTGGACTCAAGGACAAGTTGCTTATGATAAACTCAACCAAGTTATAGAAAAAGAAGTGGCTGACAAGCAGTTTATATACGTCAAGGGCTTTGAGAAACAACGTTGGCTACAGAATATTGTCAAGTCAAAGACAATTATTTACTTGGAGAACCTGAACTGTCCACCGCTGAATTACACTTGTCATTTTTGTAGTAATCATGCGCAGCAGGCCAACTTGTACTGGTGCGCTTTAGAAAATGTTAAGAAATTAAAGGAATGGTTCGTCAAAAATTACTGTGGGAGTCCATCGCTTGAAAAATCATTGAAATTATTCTGCAAGTTGAATATTGAAGACATGTGACCTCAAGATATTGCTATGCTACCAAAATATTTTATTATTGGATGTGCTGCTGACAATATCAACAGTATCTGGTCAAAATTACCAACAGCTCTTCAAGAGGACAAGGACATCATGAAGTACAGACACTGTAATAAACATTATACAACAACAGCTATCGAATTTGATGATTTTTTTTAATGATATTCCATTAGTAATTAACTGTAAATTTTGTAGAAAACAATAAAGCAAAATTATTTTTAATCAATTAAATATTTCTTTTAAAATAAATTAGTAATAGTTTAAATATTTTTTTTTTAAAAATTAGTGATAGTTTAAATTTAAATATTTTTTTTCAAATAAATTAATGATAGTTTATAGTCCAAGAGCTCATGACGAATTTTGAGAAGGTTCTTTAGGCAAGCTGAAATTGCAAAAAATTACAACTTTGTCAATTGGCGAATCCGGTCCTGAAAGTCTTTTAGCGAATTAGTGGTTATTTTGCTACTGCGCAGCATATAACATTTGCAAAAAAAAAAATTCAAAAAAATATATTTTTGGCAACTTGAATTTTTTTTTGTCTTTTAAATTACTATTTCTAGAATAGAAAAACAAAAATCCCAGACGTTTTTGTCGGTTATTTAGTATTGCTAGACGACCTTAAAGTTATTTTTTTTAAATTACCAAAAAATATTCTTTAGGCAATCTGAAATTTATATCACGTATTTATTATGTAATTTCAATAATACCTGCAAATAGCCAGACGTTTTTGCGGTTTATAAACAATTACCAGACGTTAATAAAGTTTGTAAATAAGCGCAATAAAAAGTCTTACGCGCTCTCGTAAGTGCGACAAAGATAGCTAACCGGGAAAAAATGATCAGGACTGATCAGACCTGTTCATATCTGATCAGACCTGAAATCCGACCTGATCAGGCCTGTTCAGGTATGATCAGGCCTGAAATTAGGCCTGATCAGACCTGTTCATGCCTGTTCATGTCTGAACCGTTAGATACGCTCAGACCTGATCAGACCTGTCCATGCCTGTTCATGTCTGTTCATGTCTGAAGTGCTAAATACGCTCAGACCTGATCAGATCTGATCAAGCCTGTCCATGCCTGTTCATGTCTGAAGCATTAAATACGCTCAGGCCTGATCAGACCTGATCAAGCCTATTCATGCCTGTTCATGTCTGAAGCATTAAATACGCTCAGACCTGATCAGATCTGATCAAGCCTGTTCATGTCTGTTCATGTCTGAAGCATTAAATATGCTTAGACCTGATCAGACCTGTCCATGCCTGTTCATGTCTGAATCGTTAAATACGCTCAGACCTGATCAGACCTGTCCATGTCTGATCATGTCTGTTCTAGCCTAATAGAAAAGGATTAAAACTCCATATATCAGCTGACAAGAACTGTTCATGCATGATTTGCCCTCTTTAATGATATTTTAAATCTGGAAGAAAAATTTCATCGAACTATAGACTGCAGTTCTATTTTTAAAATTAATTTGTTCCGTATGACGTATCAGTTTCTATCCCCTTATAAATTTTAAATGTAAAACTTTCATTGAAAATTTCGGCTTATATAAGCATGAACTTTTTAATTTTCCATGCCAAAACGATGATTTTTAACGATGAATTTTGACGCAATGACATAAAATTTTTTACTGTGTTCCATTGAATACGCGAAAAATAAGATTATTTAGTAAAAGTTTGAGTTTGATAGCGTTAAAATACCAAAATATGTCAGTTGATATCGATAAAGTCCTTTTAAGGTGTATGCTATTATCTTAAGCTACGCCTTGGTCCATTGCAGTAGTATCAAAGGCTGTTAAATTGAAGAACACACAAATAATTCTTCATTTCCTATACGTTTTAATTAAAAAAAACCTTCAATTTTTAAAGAAAACAATAAAATTATAATTACGGAATAAACCTTGAAGAAATTGACGACGTTTATTAGTTTTAATTTTGTTACAATTAAACGTACATTTAATTTACGACGTTTTATTAATTTTTGTTAAAAATTAATATCGACCGCCGACATATATTTTGTTGAATAAATTGTTATTTTTTTTAATTTTCCTGAATTTATTTCAAGTAATTTTAAGCCTTTCGTTTATTTTGCTATCCATTTTTTTTTAATGACGAGTATTTCAGCATGGCCCGCCGCCCTGAAGAAGAGGTAATAGCTAGCCGAAGTCGAAGCAGTAATTAGTTGGAGATCATTCTCCTGGCGCCCTTTTATTAATGATAAATTTTTTTTAAGTAAGCCAAATAATAAATAAACGGTGAGCCTGGCTTGGTGAATCCCCAGGTCAGGCAAACTTCCGTTATAAAATTTAACATTTATTCTGTTAAATCAACACAAAAAAGTGTTAAATATTTAACATAAAAATTTTTAACACAAAATTGTTTGACGCTATGACGCGAAATTTTTTACGGTGTATAATTAATTATTAATAATTAATTAATAAATTAAGTATAGAACTCCGTTAACTATAAGGATAAGTCATGTATAAAATTTAAATTACTTAAAGTAGTTTAAAAGGTACTCTAGAATTAAGATAAGTCATTGGGTCAATAGGTAAAGTATCAGTCTGAAGAGCGCAACGTACATGGTTCGAATCCCCGTCGGCATCAATCTTTTTTTTTTTTTTTTTTTTTTTTGGACCTAATCGAGTCAGGCATGAACAGATCTGATCAGACATGAACATGCCTGACCAGGTCTGATCAGACCCAGTCATTTTTCATGTCTAATCAGACCTGAAGACTCATGCCTGTTCATATCTGATCAGATCTGATCATTTTTTCCCGGGTAGTCGAGGCATGCTGGCAGCTGTCGGGGCCCGAGCTCCTCGCGCTGTGATTGGCTATCGAGAAACCACGTGTTTTCAGCTTACATTCGACACTGCGTTCACAACAAATTATTTCGTGTTAAAGCAATCAGAGCCTCGTGAAAAATTATCTAGTGTTTTATATCTTTTTTATAATTTTTATTAAAATATTATTTTTTTTTAAATTTAGCATATATGTATGTGCATATATGACCTTGTAAATATCTGTGTATATAGTTTGAACTGTTTTAGATCAGTTTTGTAGTTATTTGATATAAAAATTAAAATTTTAAGGTTATGTGCAGATAAATCACGATGAATAAAACAAATTCAAAATGTTTTATTTGTAAAAAACGTACTGATAAGATAATTGTTTTTAGTGAAGAAACATTGCAAAAATATAAAAACATTTTAAAAATTCGCCAAGACAATAATTTACATTATAGTGATGTGGAATTGCCGGAAAATGTGACCCAAACAGACGGTTATCATTCACAATGTTATCGGCCTTTTTCAGCTTTGATGAAGTACCAAATTGAAAAAACTGTTGGTGCATCACCTCAACCATCTACATCTTCAACAGGTATTATTATAAACAAATTTTTGATTTATTTTTCGGAGTTAACTAATAATAATACTAAAATTAAATGATATTTAATAATTTTTTACTCAAATTCATTAAGACAATAAAAATTAATGTAAGGAATTTTATATTTAGAAACTCTAAAAAATAATAAACGCAATTATTTAAAAATAATTTCCTTGACCAATTTTTTTTCCTAGAAAAATAAAAAAATTATGAGGTGTCTGATAATTTTAGTTTCTTAAATAATGAGTTTAATTTAAAAAATATTTTTACACAAGTAAGTTTAGAATGCTGTAAAATTATAATTCTTTCGTTTGTACTATTTCAATCGACCTTTTTTCTATACCTGAATAACGAATTTTTACCTGACTCTCTCAACAAGGCTGTTGGAGTTTGTAAATAATAAATTTCTATAGTTTTCTGTCGTAGCAAGTGAATTAGCCTTTACAATTTTTATTTTATTCATTTTTTTTTAATATTTTTCAATTTAACAGAGTTGAGTCTCTCATTTTTCTCATGTAAAAAAATCTTTCCTTTAAAATTTTAGTAAACACGAAGTTTGATATAAAACATTAAAAATTTAAAAGAACAATTAAGAAAATTATAAACCTACAGACTTATGGATTTCATTTTTAAGTACAGAATTTTATTAATTTATAAGTCTATTAGATATTGTTTACAATATTATGATTATTAATTTTTATAGGTGATTCGTTAATTTGTGAAGATGCAAAGAAAACAACGTCAGCAGATGAAACACCACCACCGCCAGTTAATATAGAAAATGTGGAAACTAGTCAGGAAAATGCTGAAATCCATACTTCATTGCAACATTTTGAACATTCGGAAAATAAAGATGCTACTGCAATCAACACGAATGTTTGTCTTTTTTGTACAAAATCTTCCAAAAAATGGAAAGGGCAAAACCAAAAATTGTGTGATCTCGATGTAGTAAGTTTGAAAGTAGCAATTGAGCCTTTTCTCAGTTTTGTTTCCGACACTGAAATTTTTAATAAACTTCAAGAAGTCCAAGAATCAACAATTTTAAAGGCTCATCGAATTTGTCGGAAGGAATACATAAATTCACTCCAATCCTTCGTTGATAAACCACAAACAACTTTCCACAAGAATATACAGTTTCATAAAGAAGGATTCAAAAACATTTGTCAATTTATTAATAGTAATATTATTTCGAAGAAGAAATGTTATTTTTTCGTGTATTTATGTGATTTTTATGAAGGTTCAATCAAGGATGCAGCCCGTAAATATGGTCATGTTTATGATAATACTTTGTCAAAAGCTAATTTTGAAAGTAAAATCAAAAAACACTATGAAGGACAACTCAAATTTTCGATTTTTCCCAATAAAAAAATTGTTGGTCCCATTGACCGAGTAATTGACGAGAATTTATATTCTCTATTAGAAGAAAAATCCATCCTTCACAGTGCGGCTCTCATTTTGAGGCAAAAAATTTTTGAGATTGAAAAACAAGCACTACCAGAAGAAATAAAGACGGAAGATTTGTTGAAAGGAGAATGCAACATCCCGGAAACCGTGAAAGATTTTTATCTTACAGTTTTAGCTGGTTCCCACAGTAAACGAAGAAAAAGTTTCGATAGTTATAGACTAAGTAACTCACTAGCTGCTGACTTGGTTTATAATGTATCGAAAGGTAAAATGAAGACCAATAAACACATAACCTTAGGGATGACCTTGAAAAGTTTAATCAGCAGTCGAAAAATTGTAGAAATTATCAATCGATATGGCCACTGCTGCAGTTATCACGGCGTTGAAGAGCTTGAAACTGAAGCTACGTTTTCATCTTCTACTCGATCTGAATTATGTCCTGATGGTATTAAAAAATCGAGTGGATTGAATACAGGTGTAGCATTTGACAATTTTGACCGCTTCGTAGATACTGCTTCTGGTAAAGACACATTACACGACACGGTGGGAATTATTTATCAGGATATCGTTGATAATTCTACAGCTGTGCATAGAAACACAGCAGATGATACTGAAGAAAGTATGATTATTATCGATCTTGAAGATGATGCTGATGGTGTTATTGACCACGAAGATGGAGCTTATAATTAAATATTTTTGTTTTGAACGCAGAGCTGAAAACACGTGGTTTCTTAATAGCCAATCACAGCGCGAGGAGCTCGGGCCCTGGCAGCTGCCAGCATGCCTCGACTAGCTATCTTTGTCGCACTTACGGGAGCGCGTAAGACTTTTTATTGCGCTTATTTACAAATTTTATTAACGTCTGGTAATTGTTTATAACCCGCAAAAACGTCTGGCTATTTGCAGGTATTATTGAAATTACTTAATAAATACGTGATATAAATTTAAGATTGCCTAAAGAATATTTTTTGGTAATTTAAAAAAAATAACTTTTAGGTCGTCTGGCAATACTAAATAACCGACAAAAACGTCTGGGATTTTTGTTTTTCTATTCTAGAAATAGTAATTTGAAAGACAAAAAAAAATTCAAGTTGCCAAAAAATATATTTTTTTAAATTTTTTTTTTGCAAATGTTATATGCTGCGCAGTAGCAAAATAACCGCTAATTCGCTATAAGACTTTCAGGGCCGGATTTGCCAATTGACAAAGTTGTAATTTTTTGCAATTTCAGCTTGCCTAAAGAACCTTCTCAAAATTCGTCATGAGCTTTCCGACTATTAAATTTAAATATTTTATTTAGATAAATTAGTAATAGTTTAAGTTAAAAATTTTTTATATAAAAAAAATAAATAATAGTTAAAATTTGAAAGATTTCTTTTAAAATAAATTAGTGACAGTTTAATTTTAAATATTTTTTTTTCAATAAATTAGTGATAGTTTAATTTTAAATATTTATTTTTTAAATAAGTTAATTTTAATTGTTTAAGTTTAAATATTATTTTTAAATAATGTTTTTTAAAACAATAAATTAGTAGTATAAATTAAAATAAATTAGTAATAGTTTAAATAAATTAGTGATAGGTTAATTTTAAATATTTTTTTTTAAATAAAATGATAATAATAGTTTAAGTTTAAATATTTAAAAAAAAAATAAATTAGTAGTAGTCTAAATCGAAATAAATTAATAACATTTTTTTTTATAAATACTTCCATAATTATTCTTTATTGATAAAAATTTTTCAAATTTTAATTATAAATTTTTTTTAATAAATTAATATTTTAAATTTGAGTTGATAATAATTAATAGTACAGTTTTCTATTTACCATCATAGTTCAGTTACCATCAAAGTCCAGTTACCAACATGGACAAATTCTAAGGTTTGTTAGAGGGCGTCTCGAATTGATTTATTTATTGACATGCGATTTTTTGTCGCGGCAAATTTTAAAATTTTTCTATAAAATATAGTTTATTTATTAGAAAAATTAATAATTGAAATGTGAAAAATTTTTATAAATAAACTATAATTATAAGAGTATTTAAAAAAAAAATCTGGAAAACGGTTGTCCTTAAAGGCAATCCCTGCAACTTCCCGCCAATTCCATACCTAAACGCTTGAGATTTCGCTTATGACGTTTCAGAGCTCTTAAAGCTCAAAGAAATAGCTTTTGTATGCTTTTGAGCTCTTCGAGCTCAAAAGGCTGATAGAAGTTTAATAAAACAGTATTTATTGAATTTTTAAACTGCAATAATATCTAAATGAATGAATCGATTTTCACGTGGTTGGCAGTATTCCACGCATTTTGTCAGAATCTATGATATACTTTTGAACACAAACTGATCGAACCGAAAATCTTAGAGAAATTCGAAAAATTCAGTTTTTCCGAATTTTTTCGACAACGATAACTCACGTACCAATCAACCAATTTTCACGTTCTTGGTAACGATCGACGTGATTTTTTGGGCCCTTATAATTATTCTATTTCGTCAAAAATGAGCCAAAAAGAAATCTCGACGTTATGTGAAAAAAACACTTTTTTTCAAAATTTTTCGTTTCCGATAACTCTCGAACAAATCAACCGATTTTGATGGGACTGGTGGCAATTGACGTGGTTTAACCAGTCCAATAGCGATCGACGTATCTTTTCAAGTTTAAGAGCTTATTAGTTTTTGGAAGTGATCGGTGAAGCCATTTAAGAGATTTTTTGAAAAAATATTTTTTTTTTAATTTTTCGTTTTCGATATCTCACGAACGAATCAACCGATTTTGATCGGTCCAACAGTAATCGACGTGGTTTTTCCAGGTTAAGAGCTGATTAGTTTTTGGAAGTGATCGGTAAAGCCGTTTGAAAGTTATTCCAAAAAAACCATTTTTCGAAATTTTGGTTTTGAGATTTCTAAAGATCTAGCGAACCGAATCGATTCAAATTTTCACGAAATTTAGTAGCTATGATACTCTTTGGATCGCCACCGATTTCGATCCGATCGGCCAAGCCGTTCAGAAGTTATAAGAGGTTTACATACATACATACATACATACACACACACACACACACACACACACACACACACACACACACACACACACACACACACACACACACACACACACACACACACACACACACACACACACATACATACAGCCGCACGGACACCATCGCGGGAAAAGTCAAGGAAGCTTCCTAGGACCTTAAAACGTCGAGATCTGATGAAAACTCGATTTTCGAAAAACGGGGTGAAAACAATAACTTGCCGATTGTTGAAAATTTTCAATTTTCTTAGCGGGAAGTTAAAAATTTTTTTTTTAATGAAAAAAATAGATGTATTTTTTTTAAATTATAATTTTTTCCCTCGGTTTTTCAACATTAAATTAATAATAAAATCATTTAATAACAATGTCATCTCATTTTGACGATTGATATTTATTATTTAATTAATTATTAATAATTCTTGATAAAAATTTCGAAAATTTATTGCCAACTATAGCATTATTTAGTCAACACAACCAGGCTCAGACCGGTGACAGCACGCCGGTTTGTTTACAAGAGCCGCCATATTGCTGTCTCACTCACTAGTATGAGACTTGTGTATTCTCCATCTCTACCCGAAGCTTGGGTATTGCGAGTGTCGCAAGTTTTCGGAAATGTTATAGTTTTTAGAAGAACAACAAGCTCAAACAAGTTTGCAAGTAGACGCTATTAATAACGAGGCTAACATAAAAAATTAGTAAGTATTGTTGATAACAATAATTATTAACATAATAATTAAATAAATAATGTAATTTAATATGATAATCAAATAAATAATATTATAATTAAATAAATAACATAATTAAATAAATAATATAATAATCAAAAATAAACGTTTAATGAATTTTAGTGGTAACCAAAAAAGTGACATGATAAAAAAAAATATTTCATAATAAATTAAATAGCTGATGCAAAATTAAAATTAAATAAAATACTTGATAAAATATTTAATAAATAAATAAATAATAGTAAAAGTGATGTGATAAAAAAAATAAATAGTATTGAAAGTGATATGATGAAAAAAATATTTTTTAATAAAATGAAATAACAATGCATGGTGATGCTATTATGAAAAAAATCAATTGAGAATATTGAAAGAAAAAAAAAATGTGTGCATTCATTATTGAAAAAAAATTTTTAATTCACATATAAAATGTATGATGTAAAGTTGATCAAAGTAAGAAAATGTATATAAATTATTTAAATAATATTCTCAATTGAATAAAAGTTTATGCTACAGCTTAAAATTTATTTGCTTATTAATGACTTATATAAAATAATTAACAAATATAGTAATTAGCTAATAAAATAAAAAGAAACAGTAAATCATAAGATGGTTATAATTTAAAAAATTTTTTTTTTCTTTCAGACAAAATGACTGACAGGAATCTAATCGACCGGTTCATACACTACGATGTAGTGATACCGCGTTCGTGGTTGATATTTTTCAGGGGTGAAATCCATGACTTAATGAATGAATTACGTCTACAATTAGTTGAGATAACTTTTGATGGGATAGGTATGACCGACATGCAGATTCTTATGATTAATAATGAACGGGCTAGGCTGTACTTGCGTCATGATATTGAAGTCTGGTGGTTCCGATTGTTCGTCGTGGACAGTATCACGGATCCACGTTATTATACTCTTGACAATTATGGTGTCAATTTATTTCTCAACATGAGTGATTGTGATCAAGAGTATAATTTTAACATTCAAGCAATACCACCGGCACCTTCACCACCATCATTACCAACACCTCCAGCATTGTTAAGCCAAGTAGCGACCGTTAGCACATATTATTGATGGACTCAAAGTCCCATGGGTATAAGAAGATTAATTGGTCAGTGGATGTTGCCAAGCTCCATTAAAATGTTAGAAGAACAACAATACCAACAACAATATGGAGAAGAGCAACACCAACAACGTGGTAGACGACGACAACGAGAACGACGATTACGACGAAGCTCATCGAGTTCATGGAGAGAGAGATGAACTCGATCGACACCGAGTTCAGTTTGAACAATTAGAAATTTCACCACCCCGCAGAAGACGGCGAATGAACTCGCCACCACCACCACCACCACCACTATCCTCACCACAACCGGGGACATCAAGCGGGCTACCAGAGCGCATCTTGCTACGACTACGCTATCATGATGAAGAATCTTCATCATCAGAGGACCTTGATATCCATCAGAATGTTGAAGAATCTTCAATATCATCAGAGGACCTTGATATCCATCATAATGATGATGATGGATATATTGCTAACGATGAAGATAATTCTCCAGATTTTTTTTCACGAAAAGGTGAATCAGAAGAAAATCTGGAAATATGATGTGTCGACATTGCGAATCATCGCATGCCAGAGATGAACAACAATCTGATTTTACAAGAGCACCATCATTGTCAGCATCATTAGCATCAACTTTAATATTATCAACAGTTTCAACAGAAAATAATTTTACTGAGATTTTCCGCTATCCAACTCAAAATGTGGATTACAATTCTGATGGTGAGCATTCATCATCGTCAAACGATGATGATGAAATACTTATAGATTTATAATCTACATTTTGAGTTATGAAGTAGAAAAAATCTCAGTATAATTATTTTCATTCTATTTAATTAAATTAAAAAAGTAATTACTTTAATTGGTTTTTTTCATTTTGAATCTTTATATTAAAATTCTTTTTCATTATTCACATTTTAAATCTTTATATTAAAATTCTTTTTTTTTTCATTATAAATATTTTTAATAAAAATTGTTTTTCTTGGAAAAATGTTTTTGTAAATATTAGCTTAATGAATGTAGAATAATAAAAATAGAAATAATAATTATAATATTAAGAATAATAAACAAATGCAAGATAAAAAATCAGAAATGCGGTTGACCCTGAAGGCCATCCCTGCAACTTCCCGCCAATTCTATACCTAAACGTTTGAAATTGCACTTATGACGTATTAGAGCTCTTTGAGCTCATAAATACAATTTGTGTATTATTTTGAGCTCTCCGAGCTCAATAAATAGCTTTTGTATGCTTTTAAGCTCTTCGAGCTCAAAAGTTTGATAGAAGTTTGATAAAACACTATTTTTTTTATTATCAAATCGCAATAACTTTTGAATGAATAAACCGATTTTCATGCAGTTGGCAGCATTTTACGCAGTTTTTTACTTCTCATAAAGAATTCTTAAGTTTCAATTGGTGAAACTAAAAATTTCGGAGTAATTCCGAAAAAACACTTTTTTCGGTTTTTTTTCGTTCACGATATCTCGAACGAATCAACCGATTTTGACCAGATTGGCGGCAATCGACGTGGTTTTTTAAGGTTGAGAGCTGATTAGTTTTTGAAATCGATCGGTAGAGCCGTTTAAAAGTTATTCTTAAAAAACAACTTCTGAAAAAAATTTTTTTTTATTTTTTTGGAGATTTCTCTAAATTTCTCAAAATCTATCGGTCTGAATCAGTTCAAATTTTCAGGAAATCTGTTTAGTGGAGCCCTTTTGAATGGCACCAACCGCGATGAAATCGGTTCAACCGTTCAAAAGTTATAAGAGGTTTACATACTTACACACACGCACGCACACACACACACACACACACACACACACACACACACACACACACACACACACACACACACACACACACACACACACACACACACACACACACACACACACTACACACACACACACACACACACACACACACACACACACACACACACACA